ATCAGTAAGCCACAAGGGATGGGCAGGCAGGGGCCACGCAACCCTTCAGCAGCAGCGGGACACCCAGCACAGTAGCAGCAGCAGGACACCCTGCACAGTAGCAGCAGCGGGACACCCTGCACAGGCTGCCGGTAGCACTGGAGGATGCTGGGTGTGTGCCAGGGCACGGTAGGAGGAGAGGAGGCGCAGGCAGGCCAGCCCCACAGCCCACCGAGGAGCAAGTACATTTTAACCACCATGCCCCCTCTGACATCCCACCGTCGGAGGCGAGATAGCCCCTGCACGGCACAGGGCTGCCCAGGGACCCTCTTGCCCTGGCACCCTGTCCCCCAGGGAGCAGAAGGCTTTGGTCTACCTGCTGGCCCCTCATAAAGCAATTTAGATTAGGTCCCAGAGAGGAGGGGACCATGTTCCCCGCTCAGACGTCACCACCGTTACCCTTGCACCAGTGAAATCATGTTTGCCATGGGGTTAATGCACTCCTGATAACGGCGAGTCATGCTTTCTCCCTTCCTCACCGAGCAAGGGGCCACCTGGGGACCCATCCCCAGGGTGATGCTCACTGGAGGGGACCAGAGTGGATTTCAAGGCAAAGGCCAGTCACCCTCTTTCCATGGCCAAGGGACAATACGCCGCCTCAGCCCCAGGCCAGCTGAGTTACTTATTGTTGCCCTGGGGAAGAGAGAGCCGTGGGTGCAGAAGATGGAAAGCGTGCAAGGGGCTTAGCCTGTCAGCTGCGGCCCCCCAGGAGATGCCATGAGTTCATTGAAGTCCTTCAGCCGTAAATGTTTTTTTTCTGGGCAGCTGACACAGAGAGGAGGCGAGAAAATAGTTGGTACGAGAGGTCGCGCCTTCGAAGAGGAGGAATTCCTGGGCACTGCGTCCTCGTCCCTCACCTCCCACCCCAGGCTGCGGGGCCAGACAGCGCTGCCTGTGTCTGCGGGCAGGGGCTCCGCTAATTAAACAAAGAGGCATTTGAAACTTTCGATTCAGAGTTTGATTGCTGCTGGCTTTATTAACGCTTTAATTCAAGCAGCAGAAAGGAAGATTTCTGGGTTTAGAGGAGTCAGCTTTTGCACAGCTTCCCCTCGAAAGAGAGAGGCAGCCGGTACAGGCAAGGGCAGGCAGGACGAGGAGATCAGGTATAGAAAATCCCCTGGTTTGGACAGATGACCTCAGGGCAGAGGCACTGCAAGGGGCCCCAACATCCCCTTGGGTTTCTTTCTCACCTGTGCAATGCCAGACCCCCATTCCGTGGGTGCAGCACGCAGGCTTCAGCTGCGGCACAGCAGGAGAGGAGCTGGGGAGCA